AGGCCCAGGGCTCCCTGCTCACAGCGCCTTGTGCCACCGTCCGGCCCACCCCCTCTGACCCTCCCAGCCACAGACATGGTCCCTGGCTCTCCGGGAAGGCTCTGAGCTCTCTCCCTGCTCCACAGGCTTCCACACGGAGCAGGTCCACGTGGGCTGTGCCCTGAGCGACCAGACCCCCGTGGACCCGCACTACCAATACGCCTACGACGGGCAGGACTTCATCAGCTTCGATCCCCAGACGGGGACGTGGGTGGCGGCCGTGCAGCCGGCCTTCATCCAGAAGCAGATCTGGGAGACGCAGAGGAGCTGGACCCTGTACATCCAGCGGTTCCTGGCGGAGGAGTGCCTGGGGATCTTGCAGAACCTGGTGCAATGGGGGAAGAAGATCGTGGACCATCAGGGTGAGTGAGAAGTGGGGGTCTGTCTTGGGGACAGGTAACACCCCAAGACACCGAGTGCCACACCCTCTGCATGCAACCTCTTCGAACCCCTACACATCCCCCACTCTGTCACATCAGTCATTACTAACCAATCCTAACAAAATTCTCTAACCAATCCGAGCCCACCAAAGTTTGATTTACACCCATCAACATTAATTATAGAAAGACAGAAACAATCAAAGAACCCGAAAGCTATCACAGAACCCTGGAATACTAGAACTGGGAGGGACCAAGTCCAGTCCCCTGCCCTCATGGCAGAACCCAGCACCAGCTAGACCATCCCTGCCCGGTGTGTGTCCAGCCTGCTCCTCAATATCTCCAGGGATGGGGATCCCACAACCCCCCCGGGCTATTTATTCCAGTGTTTGACACCCTGACAAGCAGGACGTTTTTCCTAATGTCCAACCTCAACCTCCCTTGCTGCAGTTTAAGCCCATTGCTTCTTGTTCTGTCCTCAGAGGCCAAGGAGAACAAGTTTTCTCCCTCCTCCTTGTGACACCCTTTTAGATACCTGAAAACGGCTCTCACGTCCCCTCTTGGCTTCTCCTTTCCAAACTGAACAAGCCCGGCTCTTCCAGAGAAGAATACAGACAAAGAATAGAGAAGTGGGAGCCATAAAAACAAAACAATAAACAGATGAGGGTTCCACCACCACAACTGCAGCGGTTTCGTGCCAGAGAGAACGCTAGGAAATGAAGTTTTCACTACGTTAGTGGGGTAGAGTCCTGCTGTTGTAGGGCCGGCACCTGAGGTAGGGAGCTCAGATGATGCCCCCAAGCTCCCTCGCTTGGGCCAAAGCTTTGAAAGGTCTCACTTCTGCCCTCCTTCCTCCAGCACCGCCCTCCCCCATCTCTGAGCATCTAGGGCAGAGAGAATAACTCTGGGGCCTGCTGGGCCCCCCCCCCAACACACACACAGTCTGGCACCTGAGGTGGCAGCCTCAGTTCACCTCATGGTAAGGCCAGCCCTGTGCTATTGTGGGAAACGTTCCTGGCTCTTTGTTTTCATTGTCTGGGCAGGGGCCAGCATGTCCCTGCTCCACAGTGTTTGCCCTGCACTGGACGCTTCCTTCCCTGACACACTGACCAATCAGACAGGTCACAGCAAACACAAGGCTGCGGACACGCTGACATCAGCGCAGGCCGAGACCTCCTCCCAGCACTCAGGTACCCAGCCCGTTTGCTGAGCCCTAGACAATTCTGTCTTGTGCTGTACAGAGGGCTCCATGGTGTCAGCTGGTAAAATTCACCCTCTTTGTCAGCAAACATCAGAGCAGCCAGGCTGGGTCAG